TGCTTAGAAGCATCTTGTTGTTTTGTATTAAGAAGGTGGACTTTCATTACATGTTTAGCAAAATGGCAATTTACATGATGTATGAGAAATGAAATGTGATTTTAACATGATTGTTAAACACTTGAAAGTGTGTTGTTGTGAAATAGCTAATAGTTGTGTATCTTGGTTAGTGGAAATTGTAAACATTGGAGTTGATGTGTGAAAGACATCACATGTAGTCTTGAAGAGACTAACTTGTTGTGAATTGAGCATGACGAGAAATGGTTAGTGCCATAGATTGATGGAATGGTTCTATTGTGAGGTAATATGGAGAAGAAGAAATGAAAATGTGGCTAATTGATATTGTTGTAGAGATAGTTGAAAATGGAGTAATGCTATGAAGTATGGAAAATCCTTGCATTGCATATTCATTCAATTATTATTATTTTTGCATTGTGAATTTCAATTGAAGATATTTATTTCATGAAAGAATATAACGTTGTGACAAGAACTATGGAAATGTGTATGGGGTAAATATGGTGGTAAGTCCAGTTAGGGGGTGTAGATGAATTTGATAAATTGGCCTAAGTGTCCATGGTGAAAGACCAGAAAACTGCGCGGATAAGTGTCGAGCCTTCCGGTTAATACCGGTAAAAATGACAGTTTTGGTAGTACTAGTAGAGTCTACTTGCAGACACCAACCTAGGGATTACCAGTGTCGTATTTACCGCCCCTTGTTGTTTTAAAATTTGAAGTTTTGAGAATTGATAAGATTGCAAAAAAATGTTAATGAAAGCATGGTGATTTTCAAGGAAGGCATGATATGATATTATTTTGAAGAAGCATTGCATTGCATTCGCATTTTAATTTAATGGTGGACATCATACATAAATGTATATACTTTGTTAGGGATTTCTCTACTGGGTTTTATGCTTACCCCTATGGGATTTTTGTGCAGGTAAAGATGTGGTGATCCCGCCGAACTGAGGGCGTGGATATTTTTGTGAAGAATAAATAACTCTCCTATTTTGTTGTAATTTTTGTAAAGCCAAGGGCTAACGTGTATGGGTCCGAGAGACCATTTTTGTGTAGCCAGGCTAATGCCTTGGAAGATATAAGCCTTTAAGGGCATTTTTATTGTTTTTGAGATTAGATGCTTCACATGCTATAAATTCAAGTTTTTTTTTATTTATTTTTTATTTTTATTTTTATTTTTTATGCTGTGAATGTATACCACATGTGAAACTTTTGTGTTAAACCCATTTGATATATATGTGAAGAAGGAAGGATTATTGTCATTGTGTAGTGAATGTCTATTAATATGAGTAGTTCATGTTAAATTATTTTTGGGCGTTATAGTGGATCCATTAACCAAAGGGTTAGCAAGAGAGTTAGTTGAGAATTCATCGAGGGGAATGGGACTTAAGCCTATTAACTAAGAGTTACCACAACGGCAACTCAACCTAGTTGACTGGAGATCCTAAAATCAAGGTTCAAAGGGACAACCGAGTTGTGTATGACTCAGAAGGATCACTGGGGAGTCCAACTCCTACCCATTTCTATGATGAAATAAGTGATGTCTGCAGCGTTTTAGGTTAAATAAAATTTAATGATTCTTATATCTAGGTAAACCTAGTGAAGTATGGCAGGATACTCTTCATAAGAATCACCTATGTGAGTGTGAACTGGGCCGGTTCTATGAGATTTGTGAAGGGCTACAAGTCTTTAGAGCACTCATGAAAGACCAGGTTGTTCAGGACCAAAATGGACACAATAGGGAGAACTAAACTGTGTCTAGTGATATACTGTGTGAGTTCTATTGTCTTGATTTACACAAACGGCTGAACAATTCAAGACATCATATTCACTGGTTAGCTGGTAAATCCGATAGTGTCTCATAAGGGAAGGTTCAAAGCCAAAAGCTACCTATCCTTTGCAGAATATTTCCAATTTTTGTACTCTTTGTAATTAGATCATGTTGTTGCATTTTTTCTCCGTCAAATTCCATTCATGTGGGGGATTGTTAGAAAATTTGGTTTATAAGGCTTGTTTTGGGCCAACTTTGAGCCCAAAATTGAGTGGGCCCCAAATGTCTTTTGGGCGGGTCCGAAGAAGTGACGTGTTCCTTGCCGCGTGGTAAGTTACATAGTGAAGACGGTTTGTCAAAACCATTTATGAGTAAATGGGAAGTTGACATCGTTTTTGGGTTCGTGGAATGGACAATTAAAGAAGTAAATGTGGATTTCTTTGAAATGAGTTGTCCCGCATTGAAACTTTAAGAGAGCTTTGTTGAGTATATAAGCTCTAGATTGTAACACTTGTGTTGGGCCCAAGGGGCACCCCAAGTTTGTAGAAGGGAGGAGTTATGGACAAAGTGAACCTTAGCCCAAACCACCATACACGCGCGCCGTCGCCCCCCGTCTGTCCGGCCGAGCCGTGCCATACGCGGGTGTGGGTGTGGGTGTGGTTCGGGTTAATTTTTTGGACAAAATTCATTTGAATTTTTTCCAAAAAATTATTGCAGGAAATTATTTGAATTCCAAAATATATTTGAATTCAAAATTATTTATCCAAAATACCTCCAAATTCCATTTAAATTCCAACTGTTTAACAGGTTTTTAATTACTGAAAAACTGCCAGCAGTTTACAGATTTAACTGCCAGCAGTTACAGATTCAAACATTGTTCAGATCTATTTGAATTCAAAACTGTATCTGTTGAAATAGTTTGCACCTGTTCAGTGTCAAATAGCACCTGTTCGGGGCTGTCTTTTTTGGCTATAAATACCAACATTCCCAGTAATGTTGTGGGTTGGAAAAACAGTCTGAGAAATTATTTTTGCTATCTAATTTTGCTCTTTAGTTGTATTATTCTTCATATAATTTTTAGGAAAAAAATAAAGAGAGTATAGAACACAGGTTATAGTTCGCCGAACAAATTGTTTGGAGTGCTACTACAATTTGTGAAGATCATTGTATCCTAGAAGATAGACGCCACATAACCGTAAGCACCGTAGCGGGGCGAATCTATCTTAAGGACAGAGTGTCACACACTCGACTTGATCTTTTTATTATTCTTTCGGTTCGGTAAAATAAATTCGGTACATAATTTATTTTTATTTAGTTTGATTTGTTCATTTATTTATTGTACACAGAAGATTGTTCCAACAAGAGATTAGCAGTTCAACTATCCAACTCTACTCTTGTTTTAAAAAATTTGTTAATTCTTACTACATTTGCTGTTAACCACAGATTTTTAAAAAATAATAAATCATAAATCATCAGCAGTTAAGAAAGGTAAGAAAATATCAGCTGACTATAGTGATAAAAAATAATTTTTTTTTTATCAGCATATAGAAGAACAAATTGAGGGCATTTTAACTTCAGAAACATTTAATTTCCACATCAAATAAATAAGTCACAATTTTAAATTCTTACTCAATTGGTACAAATAGTACTAATCTATTAACCTGGAGAAGAATTGGTACAAAGAGAACTAGAAAATCACAAATCCTTCCTGAACATATGGCTTTTTACACTTTAAACTTGATCTAATTAACCTATCATCTCTCTACTACTGAAAATATAAACTTAAGGCCAAAACAAAACTTTAGGTCCCAACCAACACTTTAAAGCCCTACCAAGACTGGATTTGATTAACTAAACCGCTCAAGAGAAGAAGCATCATGAAGAACACAGCAAGCAATTTCCCACCTTTATAGTTTTACCTATATTACTTACATATTACATATTCAAAACATAAACTTAAATTTTCCTTCAACTTCAGCACCTAATTAAGCAGGTAAAATAAAAGTTCAAGTGATAATGCAAAGTACAAAGGACATTATAGGTTGCACATACACCAAACACAAGAGTTTTTCATGTCATCCTCCAATAGAAAACATGTGAAATTTATGGAATTCATGTCATATGAAATTCATTCAATGGAGCAAAAATTTAAAGTGTTCTATCTATATGAAACTCATCTGATGGGATAAAATAATTAGGTACAATTTACAATCTCTATTCTAACAGAAATTACAACAAACATGTGGTGTGTAATATAAATACATAATATTTCCTCTTTTACAAGTGGTAAAATCATGACCTATTGATTAAGAACATGGAGCCATGACTTGCTACAACCATTTGTGAGATGAGATTACAAACAAGGGAGGCCACAAAGCGAAGGAGAAAATATACATTCACATGGATTTCCTTCTATAATCACAAATGACAAAATAATGTGTAATATTTTTGCCAACATCAATAAATAACCAAACAAGAATGCAACAATCTAAACATTTACTTTCATATTCTCCAATTTCTTATCCACTATTCATGGCATAAACAAACAGAAATGACAAAACTTATTACCTCCCTTGAGCAGAAAGTTTGAGAAAAATATAGAGAGGATGAGAGAGTTTGTGAGATTTAGAATGCCTTCCCTATGGATTTGTTGGGAAGGAGGTACTGATAGAACTTTAGCACCAAAATAAGGGAAAAACTTTACCGTCAAAAACAAAATTCAAGAGGCAAAAACAAATAAAAAATTGAAAGGCCCATGAACAGTACCTCGCTTGTCCTGGTGAGGTACTGTAGCTCACAACTATCTTAGCGATGCTTGAGCGAGTCTGCTGATGCTGTCTTTCACCCTTCCAAGCTCGCTTCTATGGCTGAAAAGAGAGAATGGCTATACTGCTGGAGATGGTATAAGTATAAGTTGAACAAAAAAAAAAGTTATAAGAGCAACTCTAATGGGCTTTTCAAATGACACTTGTTAGGCAAAATAGCTAGCTAATTTAACTTTTTACTGTTTCAATGGGCTTTCTGAATGCGTAGTTAATTTAGCTCCCTCTTTTTTAGCTCTACATTTAGAGAGCCATTGAAGGCTCTTGAAACTACAAGGAATCCTCTATTTTATTTCCCCCCCATCTCTAGCGCTAATGTGGCATACCATAAAACACTACCAATAATAAATTAATTTGGATAGATAGATAGTAAGTAAAAAATGACTAGCATGAAGGAGCTCGTATAAGCTGCTGCACCAAAGAGCCCATTATGTGGTGGGCAGATAAAAACATAGCTTGCACAGAATGACACATATGTTCATTGTGCTCTCTAGATGTGGAAGTCTGGAAATTGCCTTGTTTCGATGTTGAAATCCCCACACCCTACATGAAGTTGTGGCATGAGAGGTATTGTGAGTACAGACGTGAGATGAGTGAGGCTATGAACTTAGACGACGAATTAAAGAACGATGCCGCAAATGCAGTGTCCAAGAGATATAAACAGGTGATGATCAATATATCATTTTTTATACTCAATTTATATCCAGCAGTTTATTGATTTAACATGTTTGAATTTCAGTTGTTATATGGAGCTGCGGCGGTTGAAGAAAGTCCAAGGAACAGTGAGGATATATACAATGAGGCCCTCACGATTTATAACATAACTTATGATTATGCAAAGAGGAATCGAGATGTCAAGAAATGCGGCTTTGCTTGGAAAGTTGCAGGTTCGGCGCTCTTTAAGCTTCATGTCATCAAGCAGAGTGAAAAAACAGAAAATCCCATAGTTTGTTAGCCATCAATTTTACGTGAGGTGTTGAATTAGAAGACTATACCAGTTGTGTTTGAAAAATCTAGAAATCCCCTAGATGTTGATTTGTGATTATGTATCAATTTTAAGCAGAATATAACAATCCCAATCAAACAATCAAGACAAAGAAACACAGCGATTTAACGTGGAAAAAACCACAATTGGACACCTCCAACTGTGATCAAAAAACCACGGGCAACAGCCACAAGACAATCCACTAAGAAGAATTAAAGGAATTACACAGGTATACTCTCAATTACCTAGCGAATCCACAACGCCTAATTGAACCAACCTTTATGTGCCTCTTCCAACCCCATCTTCACCACGGAATTGTCTTTCTGATGAGCCACTCCGGATTCCACCAAAGCTTCAGGCTCGAATTCTTCAGAATCCACAACTGAAGAATAACTCTCTCTTTTGTGTATAACAAACAAACCTTTGATGTACTCTCTTTAGATCATGAGTTGAATACTCAATAAAAACATCAAAGAAAACTCCCAAAGTATCCCCAGATATAAACCCTAGAAACCAAAAAGAAGATCTGGAGCAGTTATCCTAAAATCTGACCCAACACGCGAATTTATAGAATCTGTCCCGCGATCTCCGCTCGAGCTCAACACAGCCCGCTCGAGCGGACTGACCAAAAACTGCGTGCGAACAAACTGAGATGCGCTCGAGCGTAGGAGAATCCGCTGGAGCGTAAAATCACACATTCTAGTATTTTTACAGGCGACTGCAGAGATGCTGAGAGCTTCCAATCCCCGCTCGAGCGTCACTTTCCCCGCTCGAGCGGGATGGAAAAATATATCATGCTCGGACAGGCAACTTTGAATGCATTTTTGCATTTTGCTTCGGGGGCGCTGCCCCCTGGACCCCCGCGAGCTGACCGGGCAGCTCGATCCCCGTCATAATCAGCGAAGTGGCAATCTTGAACGCGCTTTATCATCACAAACTTCTCTGAAAAGCACAATTCGGGTTGGATTCGCATCTAACAACTCATAGCCTCATTGAAATAAAAATGTGAATAAAATTACAACTCAAAGGAGTTTTGTCAAACGGGTTTGCCAAGAAATAAAACCTAACAGTGTTTATAGAGTTTCATGATATGAAACGTATTATATAATCTAAGTTTGTAGTGTATATGAATGTCATCGACTAATATGATCATGGGAAAATGTTTGGTAGCTCAAAATTTTGTGGCTCAAATGGCTCAAATCTGTCAAAACGGCGTCGTTTTACACTCAAAATCTGTCAAAACGACGTCGTGTTGAGTGATTTGAGCCATTTGAGCCACAAAATTTTGAGCTACCTAGCAATGTCTAAGCAAGTTCAAATGCGTGTAAATGTAGCTTGCCGTTAGTTCTCTTTCAGAATTATGATTCTAATAAAAAAAATTCAAAACTCTTTTTAAAACTTATAATTAGAGTCATGTGTTTAGTTATAAGTTTTAAAAATATTTTTTGAATTGAATTTTAAGTGTTTAATTATAAGTTTTAAAAAGAGTTTTGAAATACATGACTAAATACATGACTCAAAATTCAATTTAAATTTATTTTTTTAAAATTTAAAATTAAATAATTTGAAAACTCTTTTTTTTTTTAATTTAAAAAATATTTTTTTATTTTATTTTTTAAAATCATAATTTAAGTGTAGAGTTGTATTTTCAGTTATGAATTTTGAGTTGAGTTTTGAAAAGAAAAAAATTTGTTTGGTTATGAATTTTGAAAAGAGTTTTGAGTTGTATGTTTTTAATGTGCACTGTATTTCATACAATCGTGCACTGTATTTTTTTAAATATATATATAATTTTTATTTTTTTTATTTCAAATATTTTATTTTATTTAAAAAATATTTTTTTAATATTTTAATATTTTAAATATTTTTAAGGGAAAATCGGTTCACACATTTTCAGTTGTATTTTGAAACTTTTTGGATTTATTATTTTTAAATATTTAAAAAATTTCTTAATTTATTTTTTAGGGTAAATATTTTATATTTTAAATATTTATTTTAATGTGTATTATATTTCATATATTTGTGTGTTGTATTTTTTTAATATTTTAAATATATTTTTTAAATATTAAAAAAATTATTTTAAATATATAATCTTTATTTTAATTTTTTTTATTTTATAAATATATTTTTAATTTTTTTTGTTATGTGTTTGGTTATGATTCTCGTGTAGAGTTGTGCAGTTTTGATTTATGTATTTGGTTATGAGTTTTGAAAATAATTTTTGAATTGAGTTTTAAGTTATGTATTTGGTTACGATTTGAGTGTGTAGCTGTGTTTTGAGTTTAAAATATTAAAATTAAAATATTTACAAAAAAAAAATAAAATTTTCTTAAACATTTTTTTAATATTTTAAAAAAATAAATCCAAAAAATTTCAAAATACAACTCAAAACGTAAAATATAAATCAAAATTCTTTTCAAAACTCAAAACTCATTTCAAAATTCAAAAACTCTTTTCAAAACACTTTTTAGTTCTTTTCAAAATTCATAACCAAACAAATTTTCTCTTTTCAAAACTGACTCACAATTTCACACTTAATCACAACTTCACATTCAAATCATAATTTTAAAATTAAATCAAACGGAGCCTTTGAATATCTATGTTGTGAAGCAAGTGTGATATATACATACATATATATATATATATATATTGTTATGTTTGATGCAATTATAACATATTAGTTTGTATAACATTTTTTTAATAAGTAACATTTTGTTTTGTTAGATTAATAAATGTAAACCTAATGAACCTGGTTCTGCATTAGAGACAGCTCCTTTCTATATATTTATGTTCTTTTTGTTTTTTTGTTTGGAACACAATGTTGAAGTGCAGAAACGCAAACAGGACGAGTTTAAAAAAATAAATGTGGATGCATCATCTATGGAAGATCTGTTTCTCCGAAGAAATGCATGCTTAAAAGTAAAATGGATAAATTACTGACTTTTTTGAAATTTTGAAAAAATACAATAAAAGTTGGCATAATTATATTAATCTCTGTAATAATGGAAAGTTTAACAATGTTAGTTTTAGTAGGTAAATTATTTTCTTAATCTTGCATATTCTAGCTTTTTTGGTCAAATCCCCATAATTGGGATCTATGTAAAGTGTGCATACAATAAATTGGTGAAATTTAACTATATTTAAGGAGTTCAATTTAGGGGAAATTTCACTGTAGGGGAGGCTTTAAAAAATAATTATGAATAAATGATAAATTTTAAAAATATTATTATTAAATATATGTTTTTTTCCAAGAATTTGTAATTATTTTTGGAAACCTGTACTTTCATCTATAATTTACCTCAATAAAAATTATCAAAGCAGTTTGTGATGGGCTGGTGGGGGGTAACAAGGGCCTATTGGCATGTGGTCCTCAAACCATTTTACTTTATGGGGTAATTAAAAGGGGAATTTATTAGAATTTTTTTTAAAATTTTTGTATTTTAATTAGTCTATAAGATATTATTATATTTTAAAGTCTTATTATTTTGCAATTTGATCCATAAAATCTTAATTCTCATATTTAAGATATTTTATTAAAAATTGTACCTTTACAAATATTTTTTGAAACCCTTAGCAACTTAGTGATGTGAATATTCATATTAAATAAATTTTATAGTGTGAATGTTCCCGTTAACAATATAAATGTTCACATCATGAAATATTCACATTGTTAATGTGAATATTAATGTGCATTTCACCCTATTATTATTAGGGATATTTTGGTAACTATGTCATCTATGAATCTTATTGAAAAATAAGAAACTAGTTTGAATTAAGTGAAATATAAGTAGGTGAAAATAGATTTATGAATAAATATCCTTAATTTGAAATCAGTCGATGTTTGAAAAAACATTTTTAAATTAATGGTAAATTTTAAAAATATTAAAAAGTGAAAGGGAAAGTTACACAAAAAAAAAAACCCCAGGGTTTAGCGCCTTTTTCAAATTAAACCCCAGGTTTCAAATTGTGACAATTTGTACTCCATTCCACCCGTGTTGCAATCCGATCCCTCCGTCTATCTCCGTCTCTATTAGTTAACGGAAGACTAATTTGGGCACCAAAATTGCCCTAATCTTCACGATTTAGGGAAAAAGACACCTCTCCATTGCGATTTACAGCTCCATGCAACCCACCTGGTGATTCAACCCTCGATTGTAGCCACACATCGAAAGAAGACAGCAATTTCGTAGTTGATTTTCCAAAAAGCTTTGGACTCTGAGACAGAGGTAAGAAATGGGTTCGTTTTTGGTTGTTTTATACGGGTTTTCCCTTTATTTTTTCTCCATTGTTGACCTTCTGTTTGTCTCCATTGTTGACCTTCTTTTTTTATTATTTGTTTATGACATTGTTTTTCTCTCCATTGTCAGTGCACACTTATTGTTTATTGCTTTGTGACATTGCTTTTGTCTCCGACTGTATGCATGCCTCTATATCACTGAATATATTGTGGTCCCAAGGTCTGCATTATTTTTGTAGGGTCTTCTGTGTCTGCTTTTTTGTCATATTTTGTCTCCATAAATGGAGAATTGTGGGCCAAGTTGCTTTATATAAGGGTTTTTTTTTTTTAATATGCTTTGTTTTGTATGTGGACCCATAGTTATTGTCATTATTGTTTTGTTTATGTATGGATGCAGTAATGGCAACTTTTGTTAAAGTTCTGATACAGCACAGTGGCTATTTTATTGAGAATGGTGAAAGGAGTTATGTTGGGGGTAATGTGGATGTATTTGATGCAGTTGATGTTGATAAATTATATGTCCCAGAGATTCGCTGCATGTTGAAGGAGTTGGGTGTTTTTAATTACGAGCATATTTTCTATAGGATTCCCAACAAAAATTTGGTCTTAGGGTTAAGAGTATTGGCTAATGATGATGATATTAGAGAAATGTATTTGTGGGAGCCAAATAATGGCACAATCAGAAGGTGCGTACCTTAGAAGACTGATATTAATCGGTTGTATCCTACGAGAATGGGAAGCCGAATATAATATATGTGCCGAATAAGTGTAGA